TACATATATACATAGATAGTTTTTAAATGCTTTTAATTAATTATACACATATTCATAAACTAGCAACAACAAGCTGTTTCTCTATTTAAAAAACATTTTAATGATTACTCAACTATGTAGTTCTGTTTTTTTTTCCTCAGCCATCTATCGTACATATTTATTGTTCAAGCATATTTGCTTTAATAGCTTCATAAGTTGGAAACAAATGTGTTTATAAATAACTAACACGCTCACTCACTCACTCACTCACTTAATTGCTAGTTAATTGGAATTGCGCCTTAGAGCCGAGAAAACTAATAAAAAATAAGCCAAAGAAAGCAAAAAGCAAAACACGACTTACAAATGCGCGCACACAAAACTGAATGCCACTCACTGATTAATTTACAAATTTATGGCTACGCGAGCAGAAATACATACAGTCGGTGTGAAATGGAGCCAAAGGAAAAAAACTAAGGCATTAAGAAATAATAATTATTAATAAATACTATGCTTAACAGTGGAAATATGTTTACGAAAACGTATGGCGGAACAGCCAGCGGGTACTTTTCTATTTAAACCGTACAAGCGCATGCCGACGGCGATGAAAGTGGCGCTGATAAGCAAGTGAAAAATAAGCGATTTAAAGACGCCACAAGTAGCAGCAAAAAATAAAATAAATAAATAAATAAAAAGCATAACGAAAACATTTATTTGCATTCAAATATTTCTAACAAATCATTTCGCTATTACTGCTTGGCATATTAAATCTGCATAATGACGTTCATTATTTGCGAGCTTGTGTTGGATGATCAAAAAAGTAAAAAAGCAAGGCAAAAAATGTAGAAAATATAATGAACGAAAATATTTCTAATTTTGCAAATTTTCGCTCAGCTTTTGTTGTTAGTCTACACTTAATTGTGCGCGCTTCATTTAATATAATATGCACATATGGGTGCCTACATATACATATGTACATTAGACAGTATCAAAAAATAAATAAGTAAAAAAAAACGTTTTAATATATATATTAGAAAATAATATTTCTCAGTCCCATAGAATTTGTTTTAATAATTTTTGATTTTTAAATTTTAGCATTTAGTCATTATAAACAATTTATGAGATAGAAAACAAAAAACGTGGAGCGCATTAGATTTAATTAACAATATTCAAACCACATAACATAGACCCAAAATTTCTACAGAGAAAGTACAAATTTGAGATTGATTTTAAGCGGTCGTTATTCACATACCCACATACTTAACATCCAAATTGGGTTTTTATAAGTTCTTTATTTGGTTTGTCCGATTGCTATAAACAATATACAGTTAGAAAGGTATAAAATAATGGTTATATACTTCATTCAGAAAAGATTATCTTGGCATGTCAAAGTAAAGTTATTATTTTTTTCGGAAAAGGTATTTTGTACTCAATAGTAAGAAGCTTAAATATACACTTGCAAAGTTTATGATGACAATAGTTCTGTAGACACAAATGCAGCATTTCATAATACAAAACCTTTACATTGGAGTATTATTTATAGAAATCGGACATCAAATAAAAAAGTTTTAAAAGTATCATTTAGGTGTTTATACTGGGTGCCGAAAAGAAATGTTCCTGATAAACTTGCTTAGTGAATAGTATTCACAGTGGCTTGCAACAAATTTAACTTTTTTGTACATTAGGATGCAAAAAAACAAAAAATTGCGAGTTTTCCTCCGAAATTTTAAAATCTATTTTATTTTAAGGCTTCAACCAAAATTTTTCGGAAAAATATTAAGATTTACCGATTTATAATACTTAAAAACTTTCATTACTTCAATGCTGTTAAAAAAATGTTCCCCATTTTTACTCAGACCTCAATCACCTGAGGTAATTAAAAAAAATCTTCTTCAAAGTTACATCATAATTTTTATTTAAAAAAAAACTTAATTCTTTGAGACATTTTCAAATAGCTCCAGCCCAAATAAATCTTAATATTTTTCCGAAACAATTTGGCTGAAGTCTGAAAACATACTAAATTGTATATTTCCGATGGAAAAACTGTATTCGTTTATTTTTTTTTATGGAGAGTGAGGCACCCTAATGTATATACATATCGTCGTTTAAAGTACAAAACCGCTACTACTCGTAAATCAAGCATATAAGCGCGAACAATTACTAGGAAACTTTTTGCGCTGTGCTAAGTCACATTTTTTGAATTAACTTTCTGAATACGTAAATATGTATAGATGTTCATATTTTTATGCTTATCACCGACTGCGCTAATTTTAGATAATCGATGGTTCTGACAAAGGAATTAAGTATTTATTTATTTGGTGGAGGAAACAGTTGGCAGGCATGAATGAACAGAAACGTAAGTAAACTATACCTTTCAAGTATACAAGTATACGTACGTGTGTATGTATGTATGTACATGTGTAGACTTTCTGAAATATTTGCTATAACTAAATACTTTTAAGCTTGTTCTTTGTATAATTAAGATTTATAAACAAGTATGTATATTGGTAGCTTTGCCCTCTAGCGACACCATCCATTCTGTTGTTATCAACAAATTGCAGTTAAATATAATTTTATTCTACTTCTTACATACATACATATGTAAAGCTGAGGAAATCTCAGCTTTCCCATTCCCACATCAATTGAAAAAATATATAAATCCAGTACTTGTGACCCTCAGTCAATGGGAAGTGAATGTTTTGTAATTATGTACATATAATCTCAAATTCTCATAATAAACTGAGGCGATTGTGATTGTACAAAAATAGCCGCGAAATAAATAACACAAAATTGTGTACTTTTCTGACGCTGCACAGTAGCGCGACCCATACAAATTAGCCGGACAAAATTATTGTATGAGTTTAAACTGTAGAATGCTTTAAAATGAGTAAATAATGGCGAGGAGGGGTCTATTGCGCACCACATGTGCGGTACAGGGTTAAAAGTGGTATTTTTGAGGTCTCTTCACTTAATCCAGTGTATCTTTTGAACTACTACTTGCATATATATGTATATAATTGTATGGAAAGCTAGGCTTTCACACCAATACATACATTTGCAATTTCTTTTAGAGAAAGGTCTTCAATCAGCTTTGTTGAATAATAGGCAAAATTAATGTGGAATCTTATTTCTAAAAACAGGTAGGAAATTCAATTCAAAAATATAAATCATCATGTAGTGTATGTATGTATCAGTATCAGTGTGGGAATGCGACTCAAGCACTTTACGTTGTTTAGTACGTTCCTCGCAGCTATCCAAAGATTTTAGTGGTCTTTCAGCATTTGAAGTTGTCGGCTGTTGCTCTATATAAACTCCACTTCGACAAACTCCATTCGGGGTACTGAAAGAATTTGTGTTTTCATTCTACTAAAATATTTTTTCAACAAAGCTTAAGCAACGAGCTTGATTAGTACTATGGCCTTTCATGACTTAAAATGCACTGATGCGAACTCGTGGCAAGTCTAAGTTTTTCGGATATGTTAAGTAAGATACCGGCGTCACCTTCTAGATTGTCTATTTTATATAGAAGTTATACTATTTATTGGCAAATAAAAACCTATCCCTTTACGCATACGTTGATGTAGTATTACCAAAGGATATCAAAATTTAGTGTTCTCCTTTATCAAACGTATACTTCAACAAAGTTAAAAAAGACTTTAAAAGTATGTACTCAACAACTCGTAAAAGTTAACATGACGGCCGTTTCGAGAAAAATGAATATTAAAAAATAAAATTATCGCATTTTTTTCGATCAGCGAACATCTGTTAACTTAAACCACATTGAATTATCTAAAACTTTTACAATGAATTTTGTCCGGCTAAATTGATCAAACACGCCACTGTGCGCTGTTAGGTGTCATTTTCGTTCAATTCAAATAAACGCAAAAGTGACACTTTTAGCTCAAGGCATTACCAGCGGCACAGCTAAACACAGTCATGTTGTCAGGCACGTTGAGCAAATTACATGTTTACATAATTTTTAATGGCATACAGTGATATGCACATGAGAGAGTTAATGTTACAAGTAACGAGTTATAACTCAATTGGTACGGAGTTCCTTTGACTATAAAATGGTATTCATAAAATGCTGAAGAAAAATCCGAAAATAAATTATTACTTAGTGTAATATGTTGTATTTGGGATACATTTTAAAGCAAAGTTCGTTATTTAATTTGCTAATTTAGAGAAAACATTGTATGCGAAAACGTGGTTATTTTTTCCTTTTGTGGGAGATTTTTATTAAAAAATTGCGATGATGTATATTCTGCAAAATCGACTTTGGCCATGTAGACCACTCGCTTTTGCTATATATACATATATATCGGTGACCGATCCATTAATATAGACCAAGCTCGGTGCAGCTATTTTTCTTGGTACAAATAGAGAATATGGTGAACATTTTTGAAATCGGAATAAAATTACGCCCACTTCCCACATAGCGGTAAATTTCCAAAATACTAAAACTCTGATAATTCAATAGTTAATTTACTTCAGGTTAATAATTACAACCAAGTTTACAACAATATCTTAACAGGAAATAAGATTATTATAGATTTTTAGGAAATGAGCGTCGCATCGCTACGTAAGTGTATCTCGATAACCGCTTTATCGATTTCTACAAACATGGTTCCGTTATTTTATTAAGTCAAATTTTGCGGGGAAAGCCCCATATTTTCATGTAGTTTAGAAAAAGGGGGGAAAAACTATATTTAATACATCCGCTGGGTGTATAAAGTTTTGTTTCGACCAAAACTAATCATTACTTGAAGACTCCGTTTTTATGATCGAATAAAATCTTTTATGATCTAAAAAATTAAATTGAAAAAAATTAAAAAATTACGATCAAAAATTTATCGAAAAAAAAATAAATAAAAATCCAAACATAACAACTATGCTTGACCGAAAAAGTGAACATCAAATTTTGGCGGTGGTTTTAGCACAAACTACTTTTTAAATAAATGTTCCTCTATTTCGCATTAAGTATATGAGGTCGATCAATAAATTAAAATGCTTCGATCACTTACCTAAATAAGTTTTTTTGTTTTTAATATGCTGCAAACCATCCACTTGACTGTTTTAATGGGTGCCGTTGCCAATTTTACGCTCACTTTGTATAAGCATCGGCTTTTGTGGACCCTTGCTGCTGCACATTTTCTGTATGCGCAGTTTTTGTTGGTTTCGTTCTAAGCTACCAGTTTTTAAATTATGTACTGTTTTTTTTTTTTTTTAATTACTTTGTTATTTAATATCCTTTTGAAGTTAAGACTACTAGATTAACGTATCCGCGCGTTTACTGTCAAAGGTCAAACATTTTTACGTAATTGTTGCACACACACACATACAAATAGGCGATTATACAACGCATAGTTGACATACATAAATTTCGAGTATCTTATTACGCACTCTACTCGTACAAAGCTATACAAAAGTGCTACAGGCGCGTTATACTAGACTACTACATACACTTTTAGTGGCACTTACGTTGTTTTGCGCGCAACTCTTCTTCTTCATCATATGGCATAAACTACATATATGTATATGTGTATGTAAGTAGTATCCTTTAGAAGTGTATGAGTGCGGGCGCATGCGCTATGTGTGTGGGTGTGTAGGCGCTAACGTTATTCAATACTGCTGCTTGCTGCTCTGTTTTTGTATGCGAAGGAGCCTCATGAATTTGGTTGCGACCTTTTCGAGGCTTAAGTATGTTTAGTATTTAAGTAGGTATGTATGTATGTATGTGCGCTTTTTGAACTTTTCGTTTGTTTTTGTCTCTAAGCTAAGACTTGCTGATGTTAATTTATTTTTGGTTAGACGACAGACGCCGCTAGCGTTGCGTAGCTGATTCCATTAGATAAGAGTAGATTGTTGTGCTTGTAAAGCGTGTTGTTTTTGTAGTGCTTGTTGTTTTTGTAGATATTGTTGTAGCTTATTATCCTTAATTAGTG